CTATACAAGAGTAAACCTATTATTAAACACTAGCACATTACTTGAGGTTTGTAACATATCGTATTGACATATTCTTGTTTTTGTACCCATTTCAGTTAAATTTGACTATGCATGTGGGTTCTATGAGTTCTTAGTTGCTTGCATAACTACTTGGAAGCAATGGTAGTCCCTTGTGCTGCTAGGTGGCAAGAAATTAAGATTGAACAAGTTCAGTCCATATAAGTATGGATTTGTCACTAACCTTGTCTTGTGACTATGGTTATGACAAATTCACATTGATAGGAACACATATACCATAAAATCTAAGTGTCATAAGGTTTCTCTCCGACTCATGAAAATAATAGTGAGGAAACACTTTCACTAAGTAGATTTTAAGGAGATAGAATTGTGATATTTGCATTCTTAGCTGCAAATTCCATAAACTTTTTATTCTTCAATAATATCTTAATAGATATACATTATGACAAAACAATCTCATAGAAAATTATTTAACAAAATAACATTTTGACAGAATTAAAAAAAAAAAAAAAAAAAAAAAAAAAAAAAAAAACAGAATTCAAATTTAACATAATAAAGAATCTCTTAAAATCCGAAAATTTCATTTCTAAATTTATGTTCCTAATTTGAAAGTAATATAAACGTACATTTTTATCCTTCTTTTAATTAAATGGTATTATTTCTTTTTTTAAAATTTTAATAATATTGATACATGATTTTCTTAAAATAAGTAAAATGATTGGTCCAAAATTATTTCTACATCTACACAATAATTAGTTAGAACACAATTATATATATATATATATATATATATATATATATATATATATATATATATATATATATATATATATATATATATATGTATATATATATATATATATACACACACACACACATACATACACTACAAGAAAACAAAGCATTAGCGGCGACACCTAGCAATAGCGGCGACATGTAAATGACGCGTTACAGGTCGCTGCTATTTCCAGGTGTCGCCGCTAATGCTTTGTTTTAGCGATCCGCGTCATTCTCACCCCATCCGTCCGATTTGTTTTCAATCTAACGGCCGTAGAGGAAAGCGGAAATGCGCGCTGACTTTTCCCTCCGCTTGTCGTCGCTAATGCCCTAGTGTCGCTGCTATTGCCCATCGCCGCTAATGATAAACGCAGATATCCTTCACAGATTACCTTTCTGCCATTTTTTCTTACCTTTCTCTCGTTTTTCTCTCTTACTTTCTTCAATATCGCAAATTTTTTCCAACATGGTGGACTAGGAATTTCTTATTGGACCGGTGCTAGCCCCTCCTTCCCCCAAGACAACCACAATACCAACACAGCCCCAAAAACCGGTGACATTTAGCCACATTCCGAAATAGCCCCAATCAAGGTCGAATTCCTCCTCTTTTTTATGATTTTTCTGTTTTGATGTTAATTTATATGATAAATTGTGAGTATTTTTCAATTTTGTTGAGTGGTGATGTTTGCATTTTGAGATATGAAGTGGTTATGCATTTTGTTGGATTGTATGCATTTTGTTGGATTTTGTTTTTTTTTTCAGATTTGTGGGAATTTTATTATGCATTTTATGTATGTTTTGAAATTTATGTTTAGATTACATTGGCTTAAAAATAAAAATTGACATGAATATATACATTTGTTGGATTGTAATTTATGTTTATACCACATTGCCTTAAAATGAAATTTAGATGTATATATTTGTATGAAATTTGATGAAATTGGAATATCCAAATTGGATGTATACATTTGACTTAATTGTATATTGGAATATGCAAATTGGATGAAATTGGAATATGCAAATTGTATGAAATTGGATGTATACATTTGGCTTAATTGTATGAAATTGTGTGAAATTGGATGAAATTGGAATATGCAAATTGGATGTATAAATTTGGCTTAATTAGGTTATTAATAGCAACTTACTTCTAGTAATGTATTGTATATGGTTTCAAAGTGCTTAATTTTGTTAGTGACTTAATGTTTGGCCAATGTAATAGCAATATACTTTTAGTGACTTAATGTTGGTCATTACAACTTTAGCTTTAATTAGGTTATTAATAGCAACGCACTTCTAGTAATTTTAATTTAATTATAGAATAAAATTAAATTAATTTAAAAAAAAACATTAAAAAAATAATAAATTAGTTGTAAAATCAACTTAAAGTAGTTTTAAAATCAAGTTAATGTTAAAATTAAAATAAAATAAAGTTAGTTTAATAAATTAAACTAATAACAAAAAAGAAAATATTAAATTAATTATAAAATCTAATTAATTTACCTTTAAAATCAAATTAAGTTACCTTTATAAAATCAAATTAAATCAATTATAAAACCAACTTAATAGCAACATACTTTTGGTGACTTAATGTTGGTCATTACAACTTTAGCTTTAATTAGGTTATTAATAGCAACGTACTTCTAGTAATATTAATTTAATTATAGAATAAAATTAAATTAATTTAAAAAACATTAAAAACATAATAAATTAATTGTAAAATCAACTTAAATTAGTTTTAAAATCAAATTAATGTTAATATTAAAATAAAATAAAATTAGTTTAATAAACTAAACTAATAACAAAAAAGAAAATATTAAATTAATTATAAGATACACCATAAAGCTTACATTTTTATGAATAAGAGGACCAAAAGAAGCCCAGATCTAACACCAAATCTTCTGGAGTAAGTCAAGAAGATCATCGATCACTCTAAGGACTCAAAAAGCATAAAATAACAACATAACTAGATCTAGCATCATGGATCATCAAGATGTGAGCTTTTTACCTCAAAAGCTTGCAAATGATGAGCTATCCCTGGATCTTCAAGCTCAATACCCCCTTCCAAATGGTCTTTTTTTTCTTCTTCTTCTTCTTCTCTTTCACAAATCACCAACAAACACTCTTTAAGGCTCAAAACTCACAAACACACACCAAGGTTTCAATTTCTAGACAAAGGAGGGTGGAGGGTGGCTAAACATGACAAAATAAGGCTATTACAAGGGTTAAATATAGTGCAAACCCTAAAAATTAGGGTTTCAGTCATGCCCACGTACGTCATGCGTACTCCAAGTATGCACTGCATATGTGGTTAAGACCCGCATCCTGAATTGAAATGGTTTGCCCAACCTACTCCAACTTTTCTAAAGTTGGCAATTTTGCCCCCTAAGGACCAATTCTGCAAAACATTAGCACACCAAGGCTCTAAACTTAAAAGTACTTTGAATCAAGTGTTACAACTTTAATTTTTCTATCTTAATTTTTCATGTATGAACTTCTTTTCCTTTAAATTTCTTATTCGTGTTAAAATATGGTCATTATGAAAGTAGATTGTCATTTTAGTTTTGGTCATTTATGCCCTTGAAAAATGAAAGTAAGTTGTCATTCCAGTTTTGGTCTTGTTTTAGTCATTTATGCTCTTGAGAAGTGAAATTAGGTTGGCATTCCAGTTTTGGTTGTGTATGCCCTTGACCAAAGCTCATCACAATGACTAGAGTGAAAGTAGGTTGTCCTTCCAGTTTTTCCCAACAGTCATAAGTATATGCATTTTTAAATTTAGTTATTCATGACAATGACCAAGTAATAAACAAAATAAGATTAAACCGCAAGTTGCAACAAAATTTGCAGTTAATTTGATCCAACTGCATTTGATATATATATATATACCCTTTTACTTGTTACAAGCAACACTACAAACAACATAAACATGACCACTACATAACATTTTAGACTACACATTTTCCTACTCATCTTAGCACGTTCTTTATTTATCTTCTCATGCTACATATTGAATTCACATTCCAAAATAATAATCCTTACTTCACAGGATCGTACTCCTACTTCATCTTCATTCTTCTCTTGATTGTTTCTTCATTATCAACCCATTGCCAAGATTTACATTTAATCTTTAGATTACTCTTAAAACAAACAATAGAAATTAGTGAAGAAAATCTTATTAGATAAAGATTGAAACCTACATACCAACGAATTAGAGCAAACCCTAAATTGTTTTCTAGGATTTTCTTTGGTCTGTGACATCCAAATTCAAAAGGGGTAGCCACAATCACATGCCTTTGCAACATCAAGTTTCAATTTTAACTTGGATTTGATCAATCTTAAGTTGGAGTTATGTGTATTTGAAGAGGAAGTCATGGGAGATGCGGGAGAAATCGAGCACCTTTATTGAAGATGAATGTGGTTGGATAAATTGTGCACTACATATATTACATATATAATTGAGACTAGACCTGGAAAACATTTCATGTCGTGCTAGGTTCGTGTCGTGTCAAGACATTAAACGGGTTGAAAGGACTTGACCCTAACCCGACTTGTTTAATTATCGTGTCGTGTCGTATCAACCTATTTATTTTTGTGTCGGGTTTCGGGTTAAGGTCTAGACCTTGTAAATATGTTGTGTCATGTCTGCTTGAAACATTTTAAAGGTTGGAAAGTAGGAGTTATGGATGCAAAAATGAAAAAGTGAAACATTGGAATTAGGAGATGGAATGAAAAACAAAAAAAAAATAGTATGTTTAGAAGGCAAAATGAAAAGAGTTGAAGATGGGGAGCAAATTGGATAAGTGGTGAGGATGAGTAAAATTAAGTAACTTTGAAATTTTGAATATTATTTCAAATTCTTGAGTTTGGCCCACTACAAGTCAATAACATATAATATATTTATAAAAATATGAAATTTTATAATAAATAATGTATAATTAAACGGATCATATTCGAGTCATCTTCGAGTTGAAAGTCTTGACTCTAACTCTACTCGTTTAATTATCGTGTCGTATCGTGTCAACCCATTTACATAAACGTGTTAAAATCTCTAACTCTAACCTACTAATTTCGTGTCAGGTTTGTATCGGATTTTCGTATCGTATCATGTTTTGTCAGATCTAAGTGAGATCCCCCTTGGCCACATATGCAACGGAACCGGGTAAACGATTTTAGAAGGCCTTAAGGATCAAATCAAATCAAAATAAATACTTTAATAATCATTTGGGTCTAAACTTTGCTTAATAATTGTGCGAGTGAAAAAATAAATAAATAAATAAAAATTCGTGTAGCACGTGTGTGAGTATGACTGTGAGTTATCGCATGATTTTACAATTGTAGAGTGAAAACCGATTTGGTAAGAATTAAACCACTAATTTTGAATAAAAACAAACCGAAGTGCTTCTCATTTCCCAAGTTGTGGTTGTTATGAATCTGGTCTTATTTGGATTTTGGGGAAGACAGATACAGAAAAAGAATGGCATCCGTTTTCCTCTCCTGCAATGCACGTCCTACTCATTCAATCAAACTAGGGTTTCATCAAATTCCCTGTTCCACAGCTGATTCTTCCTCACGCAATCTCCACCTATCTTCAATTTTCAGGTTCTTTACAATCCCTATTACCCTTTTCAATTTCATAATCAACTTATCGATGCTGCTCTCTTTTGAACTTCATTTGCAAATTAACTTCATTTAAAGTGCCCTAATTGTGTTTCGATAAGTTTCCCAATGCTGACAATGCACATCATTCCTTCGTATTTTCGTGGGATTTGGGAGTATACAATTCCAGCTTTAAAATTAGAATTAGAGCTTCCCTTGCTAACATCATAATCGATCCTGCCAAATCCTGTTCTATGAATCTTGAATTAGTAATGGTGCAAGTGCGAAATCATATGGCGAATTGAACTATTTGGGCGTCATTTCAAGTTTCAAATCTCAATTTCATGCTTCCAAATACTACCTATTGAATTTGATAGGCTAAAAATGAAAGAAAAAAACGCATTGCACTTCCATTTATCATTTCTTTCTATTGCCCCCCTTGAAATAGTGTTTGGGTATGCTTTTTCTTGAAGTTGTGATATCACTTTTCAAGATATTGAATGCTTAATGAATTCTAATCATATAAGTAATCTATAAATTAAACGTAAGTAAGGGTATGTAAGTAATTTTACTCTACTCTTTAGTAATGAGTTTTATTGATGTTAGTAAAAAACCCGATTATGTAATCATAAGTAGAAGCAAGTTATCAAAAATATGCTTGCTTGAAGTTGTAACCATCACTTTTGATGATGTTGAATGTTTGACAAAGTCTTATTATTAAGGAATTAAATGATAAAATAGTAGTGTTTGTATGATGCAATCGAAGGAATGGAATGGTAGATTCCACAGGAATGTAAAAAAACCCTAGTTATTTTTGTCCAATGGAATGGAATGAACAATTTCTGCAATTTATAAAGGAACATGGTTCTATCCATTTTGTAAATATTCAATCCTTATTCAGGGGTCTTTTTTTTAAACAGTATTTATTCAGACAAATTATTTTCATATACACTTGGCCACAGGTTCAAAAATGGTGCAAAATTGGTGACAAAAAGAAAGTTGCCTTTGCTACATGCATCAAACAAGTCTTCAGAAGAACCTATAGGGAAGACAGAAGCAATTACAAGTAATGACATTGGAAGTGCCCAAGGACCTCCTTTTCTTACTATTTTGGCTGGGATTGTCGTTTTTGCCCTCCTACTTTGGGTCGTAGGATCCCTTGTGTCGTGGGTTTTTGGTCTTTTCGGTTTGATTTTCTCAAAATAAATAACGTTTCATTTTATTCCCATCTGTAATGCAATTAAAAGTTAAACTCGGATTGTGTTTTAGCTTCTCTAGTTTGTAATTTGACCTTTTGTTGCAAGTTGTTATGAAGACTTTTAGTTCCACAAACACTTTGACCAATGTCCTAAATGCAACCCAAAGAATTTGCTTGAGCTTTTTGGACCAACTTTTAAAAACATTTAAACATATGATGCAAAATGACTTCCACTACCCTTAATATGAATAAATAGTAGTCAATGATCACAAAACACACCTAGAAAAAGTAAATAAAACTATACATCTTACTACCAAATGGTGATACATCTTCAACACTAATAATCAATTCACATTACTAGTTTATATAGATGTATGTTGATCCCAAGCTTGTGATAACATACATACATACATAAATTTATACATATATACATACGAATGGAAAATAGGTATGCTAAAGGACAAAAAGTCACTCCTTGATGCGAGATGATCTGTTTTTCTTTTGGCCACCACCAAGAATACGAGAGATTTGTAAACCTCTGCTAAATGCTTGGTTGAACAGCATTCGTGTCTGAAATTCAGACACGAATGGGAACCAAGCCAAAAATGCAACTGGAGTGAATAAAAGCAAACCCATTATTATCTCATAATATTGTGCTAACGTTCTAACAGATGACCAGAATCCAGTTTGTTTCAAAAATGGCTTTAACGCTTGTGCAATCTACACAACAAACCAATGTTAATTAAAACCAATTATCTATTTTTTTTTCCCATAAAAAATAGCATGTGTTAAATATGTATTAAAGGGACGACTCACCAGAAGCATTCCCCAACCCGTAGGCATTAAGGCGAGGACGCATACAATTATATCCTTTATTGACATATGAGGTTGTGCTATTATGGTAATTAGTATAGAAAAAAAAGTTATAGCGATTAATCCCTTGATCAATCGGAATGCAAGTTGATAGTCATTACTAAGAGATTTTCTACAGTATGCCATTCCCTGAAAATATAGAAAATAATGAATTAATTTAATAAGCACATAAAAATTACCATGTGTGTAAAGAAAATCGGTTTCAGAATATCTATTTCATTGTCCCTCAAAGGGACACACTAAGATACACACATATATATGCATCAGACAGACTGAGATTGATGTCAATGGGATAAAAACTGTAATTTTTCCTTCCAACAAGATAGGACACATATGTTCTATAAAGGAGTGCATTTGTGGTTTAAGAACCTTTTTTTGTTGGACATGACATCAAAGGAGAAGTTATATAAAAAGTTGTACATTCGGGTATTTGGCATGCAATCTACTAGGACTTTGATTAATGTGAATGAGAAAAAAATTATAAATTTTTTTTTGTATACCCAAAAAAGAAAAAGGTATCTATTTGGACTTTAATAATTAGAAATTATTATACTACATGTTAGTTAGATCACCTTCATTACGAGAAGTCCTGCGAAGATTACAAGCCACGAAATTCCATAAACCTGCAAAACAACAAGTGAACATCACAAATTTTAATTAATGTTTTATATCCAAAAAATAATAATAATAATAATCAAATGCAAGTTCATAAACACAAAAAAATACCAGAAAACTTTTGCTCTTTGTGATGTTGAGATGATACACAAGTCCAAACTGATAAATAAAAAATCGAACAGCCAACAAAATCTCTATAACAATACCCTTTACCCCCGAACATGCAAGATGATCTTGCTCTTTCTCCCACCATGATTCCCAACTTTTATCACCGGAAACACCGATTCCACCACGATTACTTATCCACTTACACCAATCCGACCAATCATCAACAATCTTCTGCCACTCAAACCCTGAAGGATTGAAAAGAAACGGAGCAAAAAGCCATGTCCCCACCATAAACCACCATCGAAACTGTAATCAACATATACGCAACTGAACTTGTATACGATTCTCCAAATATCTCATACACAACAAGCAAGATCAAAAGCTCGATTCCTTTTACAAAGTGGCTACGAGAATATAGCCGATAGTTCTCGGAAAATTTAGCGTGAAAAACTACAAATCCACGGCCGGTGGGGCGGTATTGAGCGCCGCCGTGAAGCAAAGTGCGACCGTAGTAATGGGTTTTTGTTCCGAGAGAGAATGTGAAGAAAACCGAAGCTAATTGGAGTTGCATGAGGACAAAATCGATTAATGCGCTTCGGAATCCTCTTTCGAGTCCAATTTCCATTATCATTGGGAGTGCCATGAGGAATCCGATTTGAACGAAAGATTGAGATGCGAGAGCTACGTGAAGGGGTTTGTTTCTTGCAATTGCTTTATTTGTGTTTAGTTCTCTTTCAAGTCCCACTTAGTACGAGGTAGAGGCGACCATAGAGAAATACGTATACAATAAGCACAGTCAGCTGCCACGTAAGATTGATGGGTATATATTAGATGTATTCCAAAAAGTACGTAGTTGTATAAATAGAATCGTGTATACATAATATTCATCAATAGTGAAAGGAGTAGAGAAGAAAGATAAATAGGTAAAAGGTAGTGAAGTAGAATCCGATATTAAATGTATATTTGTTGTGAACATATTAAGCCTATTAAGTAGAAAAGAAAATCATGTTTAAAAAATAATTGAGAAAAATATTTATTACCAATGTGTTGAAGTAGAATCCGATAGTGGTGAAATAACATGAGAGCATACGAAAGAAATCAAAACGGTGTCCAAGTCTGTATATATCACGACTCATTGTTTGTTCACCGTTTCCTTGTGCTATTTTTGCCTCGAATAAAGAGATCTGGTTGAGGCCCACATCTCTTCCTTTACCAACTTGTATGTATTCATGATGAGTCACATTTCCTCCACGTAGTGTGGAATTGAAACCTGCCAGCAATTCGGGAAAATGTCAAACACAAAACATTTGTTGAAAGTTGGTCCGGAAACCTTCGTTAGGGAAGTTTCCTTTCCAAAAAAAACATTAAAGGGAGTAGTTTTACTAGGACCCACAAAGGTGATATTCTAAAATAAGCATGTTGGGACCACTAATTATGATGAAGTAGATAAAAGGAAAAAAAAATATATGCCTGCAAATATGTCTTCGCTCAGATTGATGATTTTTGAAGCTTTGCTGATACCTCCTCTGGTTAAGTGAAATAGTCTTTCGAACACATCAGGATGCCCATAGTGAAATCTAACCCTACAAATATGTATGAAATGGTAAAAATAGCAACTACTTTCAGTAATTTGTTTTTTTACAACTTTATACTTTCATTTCTTCCATTTACAACACTGTACTCTTGAAAAATCTATCTAATTATAGCAATGTAAACAAATAAAAAACACTTTTCACCATTATAATTGACTAGATTTTTCAAAGTACAATACTTTAATAAGACTTTTTTTTTGAAAGTGCAATGATGTAATAAATTTCAGAAAATAAATTATGAAAACCACATGAAACTTGAAGCATATCAAATTAAATTTGTACATCAATACTATAAAATAAATCTTGCAACTTACTTCAATGGATTAGCCAATAACCGTTGTCCAATTGTAACAAAACTCGTCTCCTGGTTTGACATGAACCACGCAAGAGAAGATACACTAATCATAAACAAAAAATTAAATAAAAAAAGTCATTAATCACAAAATAGAGTAACACATATAATAAATGATTAAAAACATTACATGGTACAAAAGAAATAGAAATGCATATTTACCTTCCAGTGAATATATGCTCTCTAAGTCCAAGTATGGTTGGAGTTCTAACTCCATGTTTGATAAGAAACTCTTGAAGTAAATTCCTCATTTTAAAGGCTTCTTCCATGTAGTTGTCCTATTCATAATATAATAATTAAATAATTTTATTCAAGGGTAAATCTCTAAAAAAGTTAGGACTCAAGACTTTCTCTATTAAGATGTTCTTTATGTATTAAGTCAAATACCTGGTTCATGTCTATTGTCTGTAGACCTTCTCCACGTGTGAAAATGATGGCATGATTTTGGTTCTCTGGTTTTCCCTCACCAAGTATGGCTGCTCCTGGAAGTTTTATACGATATATAACCTGAATAACAAAAATGGTATATTTACATTAATGAACCTTCATGATATACATATGTTTCGATTAGTATATTTTCAAAATATGTAGTAGTCTTTGTTATATTGTTATTTCTTGCATTTAGCCATAAAATGATGCTAGTAGAAGTCTCAACTAGTTTCCTTGAAAACTTATGAGTTGTGTAGAAGTTGATAGAGTCTTTGGTCAACCTTCTTTACGGTTGTCACATTGAGCTCAAATAGGTGAAAAAATATATTCCAAAATTGATTGATTTAAGTCTACAAATATTGAAATTTGTACCTGATCTAAGCTCTGAAATTGGTTAGAGGCATCAGCAGACTTTGGTACAGCTTTCACAAGAACTGAATAATAAGAAACTTTGGTAACCACATTTTCTAATTCATCAATGCTAGTTTCTTCCACCTCATCAATATAGGCAACTCTAAGAGAAGGATACCTGCCTCAAAAACATATAGATTTCCCAACATTAGTTAGAAAATTAGAGAAACACTTCATGGATGAAAGTAAAATTGTTTAAATACTAGAAAGAGCAACCTACTTCCATTGTATTGTTTACTACAACATCCTACTTTCATTTATTACAATCACATCATTGTACTTTGAAAAAACTATCCATTTATAACATTTAAGCAATTTTCATTGCTATAATTAGGTAGATTTTTTACAAGTATGATGTCTGATACAAAAAAGTTTGAAAGTATATTACTCTAATCGGGTGATTTCTCAAAATGCATTTTGATATGAAAAAAGAATGTTTTAATAGAAACAAAAATGAAAGTAGGATGCTATAACACACAAATAAATTAAAATATTTCTTGAATACAAGTGCTCAAGTCGTACGTTGTCATAAGCCTTAAAATGTCATGAGCACGAGCATCGCCTGATCTTTTGTGGATTCCATATTGCTGAGATGAGATGACATATGTGAATTTCATATCTGCAACTGCTCGACATTGTGCTAGTGTTGATCTTTCATTCCTTAAATATTCTTCCGTGTTAGATTCAGCAGGATTGTAACCTTTCATTAACTCTGCAACAATCATCAATAGTTATGTATGTATGCATGCATGCATACATGCAGTATGTAGTATGTATGTATGTATGTATGTATGCACTAAATCATCAAATAAATGAAAATATGTTGTTGTTGATTGTATATACCATCATCATTTGCCATGTCAATGAAAGCTTGAAGTTCCAATGCTTGCCGATAGTACATCATGCCTCGTACTAATTTAAGTTCAAAGAAGAACAAAATTATGATCAGAATATTGAAATGAAGAACAAAAGGTTGATTTAAGTTTTATCATCATCATCATTTGAGTTTTCCTCTTCCATTCTCTTTTTACTAATGGGCTAGATGCAAGAAATTACAATTTATTTTCATTTATTTGTATATTATATCATTCTACTTTCATTTCTTTCTATCAAAGTAATATGCTTTCAATATTTTCTTATTAAGACATTGTACTTGAATTTTTTTTTTACCTTAATCATAGTATAGGACATTATACTATGAAAAATCTACCCAATTATAGAAATGACAACTGCTTTGCAATTGAATGACATTAGATAATTAGGTACATTTTTCAACGTAAAATGTTGTAACAATAAGAAATGAAATTAAGATGCTATAGTAAACAAATTAATACAAATAGATTGCCATTTCTTGCATCTAATCGTTTACATATGTACACCCAATTACCAGTCTTAGTAAGTGTTTGGCCTCTATATGAAGCCCAAAGGCGCAACAATTCTTCTGAATCTAAATCTCCTTTCATTTCTTCTTCATTGCTATATTCCACCCTCTCTAGAAAGTTGTTCCACTCATCTGAAAATTATTTGCTAAACTTAGTATCATGAAACATACAGCTTTAGAAAGAAAAATAACTGACCTGGAAATATTTTTTGCAAGTAGAAAAGAATGGAAACTCCATCTTCATTAGGCTTTTCCAAGGCATCCATAGAGAAAAGAACATCCTCATTATAATAAGGAGTCAAAACCCTAACATAAAATCGAATTTATCGTAAAGTCAACTTATCTTCAAAATGCGAGAAATAATAACATATTTTCATAGAGAAAACTTACGAGAAAGATATCATATTTCGAACTTCGGGTGCCTTAGGCATATCCATAAACAATGAATTTGAGAAGAAAGAGATACGCCTTCTGGCTTCTAAGTTTGATGGAACATCCATTGCAGATTCTTTTTCTGTAAGCAACAAATGAAGCCTTCTGATCTGTGGTTTAGTGGAAATTACAACTTCAGTTCATTATACCATAGGGGAATTTTTGTAATTTAGTGTATAAAGAGTAGAAGCTTTTTACTTTCTCTTTCCAAGCTTTTGTCTCTCTTGTAACCGGAAAATTTAGATCTGCGAAATACTTATGGCTTGACTCTACCATGCTACATGTCAAAAGCAAAAGAAAGTTAGTTAGTAATGTTTTATTATTGAGTTTAATGCAAGAAATAGCCTAATACAATGCTATAGTTGGATAGGTATTTTAAAGTAATGTCCTAATACAATGCTATAATTGGGTAGATTTGCAAAGTAGAATAGATTAATAAGAAAACAATTGAAAGTATGATGTTGTAATTGAAAAAAAAATTGAAAGTCGGATGCTAAAATGTATAAATAAATGAAAGTATGTTATTATTACTTGCATTTAGCCCAACAATATCCGAAGAGACATTATATCCATTTCATTTACCTAGATAATGGCTCATCCAAGATGTCTATGTTTACCACCTCCAGCATGTTAAGTAGCACAATGACAATCTCGTCCTTGTCAGTTGCTTCATTTTCTTTCTAAAACCAAAAAAAATACTAGTATTTAATATTAAAACCTTATAAGAGAAGACATAAAAAAACAAACAAAGAGATCATATTTGACCAGATATTCAATAAGCCGAATGAAATGATTAGTGAGGCTAGGCAGGTAACTCATATCCAACACACTTAGTAGATCTCCCTCCTTAATGTGATGATCAACTTTTTCAAAAATCTCCTTCATAATACTGCAAAAACACAGACCATGTCAATTAACAAATAGATCATATCATATTAAAAAAATACATTACTTACGCCTTGTCAATTTCCCCTTCAACAAGAAAATTTAAAATATTTTGGGTTGAAACATAGCATTCCTGAACAGCACAAAGCATATAATTGTCTGCATTTAGCCTCTTTTGCAGTAATCGGTCATTTCCATTGCTGTCTTTTGCCATGTCCAAGGCTATTGGAAGCTATAAAATCATTGTTGAATAGTCAATATATATATATATATATATATATATATATATATATATATATATATATATATATATATATATATATATATATATGAAAGAAAGTGTTGCAGGAAGTAATGAACCTTGCTAGCAAGTAAAAATGGTGGCCACCGAATAAGATTCAAGTCAAAATCAGCCCAACATGGCATAAGTAAAAGGTCCATTTCCCTGATAACATAAAAATTCAAGCACATATCAGTGATAAGTAAGGAGGACATTTTTGTCTTTTGCATAGATATGAGCTCTCGACTCTTTGTTCCATCTTTTTTGTGTGGGACAAGCTTTATTGTAATTGATTCTTTTCTTTTCTTCTCTTGTTTTAGAATTTAGAAAAGTAAGTTAAATCTTTGGAAAGTGTACACGTAATCGGGGGATTGGATTAACAGATTTATCTATGTAATCGTAATAATTTATCATATAGTGGATTTTTTTTTCTCTTTGGAGGCATGTGGTTTTTCTTTGGTTTTGGAGTTTTCCACGTATATATCAATTTTCTCTATTATTTTACAATTGGCTAGTTGTTGGAAATATTTGAAACCGTTTTCCAAACATAAAATACCTGTTGCTTATCAAATCTTCTTCTCTGAAACTTGTAATGATTTTATTCCACATATGAGCAAACCTTATTGTCTCCTCTTTATTGGTTGGTTCCTAAAATAAACACAATTAAAAAAAAATATTTGTAAACCATCAACCACCCAAATAGGTATAAAAAAATATAAAAGAAATTTAACCTTAGTCATTCTATGGGATGGAGTAACTGTGAGCCTATGCTCAATCATTTGGCTATTTTCTTTTGGAATTAAGCATTCATTGAAAGCAACTGGCATTGACCGAAACCGACTTCTCAACATCCTTAAAGTTCGAATCTAAAGAAGTAGAAATTCAAAAAAACACAATATATATATATATATATATATATATATATATATATATATATATATATATATATATATATCAAAGTAAGTAAAATTTTAGATAAATGCAAATTCGAGCACTAACCTCTCCAAGACGTCGAAATGCACCATAAATTCCACCAAATATTGTGGAAAAGATGGCATACCATATTTGAGTATCCATAAAATAGACCTATAAAGATTTTAAAAAATGACATTATATATAGCATGTTTTGGAGGCAAAGGAAAATTAATAGGATATGAATAATATAAAAATAACATACAAGAATGATAGGAGCCCATAACGTAATCACAACGCCAATATTGCTGTTAGCTGAAAAGAAGAATGACAATTTGTAACATTTTTTATTCTTATTATACAAATAGCGTTATGGATTATATATATATATATATATATATATATATATATATATATATATATATATATATATATAGGTCCTTAATCATGATTACCTTGAGGGAAGAATTCATGCCATTCATAACGTCTAATGTGAAGTCGCATAATTGCTTTTGTTGGACCCACTAGAGGCTTTATCTGGAATATGTATATAATTACTTATTCTTAGGGACAAATTCAAGAAAGAGCAACTTACGTGCATCTATTTGTTTATTATAGCATTGTACTATAATTTCTTATTATTACAACTTACAAAATTGTGCTTCCAGTTCTTTATGCTTATGAAGGCATTATATTTGAAGATATATACCTAATTATGATGTTGTTCTTTGTGTTTCTTATTAAAACATATTATACTTTGAAAAATCTAGCAAATTATAGTTGAATAAATTGTTTTGTATTTGGGTGACATTTGCTATAACTAGATAGATTTTTCAAAGTAAGATGTTGTAATAGGAAGAAATGAAAGTACAATGTTGTAATAAGAAAAATATAAGGGATAAGAAAGGCACCTCTAAGTAGTAACTGAAAGCTAACTTTGAAGCTATAAGGAGAACCCAGAATATAGTGTACCTAGAAGAAAAGAAAAAAAAACATAAAGCATGGTACAAGTAATTTTAGCAATCTATACATGCGATTAGAATATGTAAGCATACTTGATAAGGGAGACATGATCTTCATGCATTCCCCTCCCAACATAAAGCGAAAGCTGCAAAATTTGATGAGATGTTATGGGTATTTGTTTTTGACATAATGCAGAAAGAACGACTTAATAGAGAAAGTCAGAAAAATGAGGTTTTCCCCCATTAAGTCCTATATTTTAACAACTTTTCCTTTATTTATCTTTTTCCTTTCAATTCCCCAGTGTGCCATACTTTTCTAAGATCTTTTTGGGCTAAATGCAAGAAATAGTAACAGACTTATATTTATTTGTGTATTATAGCATCCTACTTTAAGTTCTATCTATGACTACATTGTACTTTCGTTTTTATTTTATTAAGCATTGTAATCTAAAATAACCTGCCCAATTATAGTATTGTACTTTAAATTACTTTTCTTATTAGGACATTGTACATAAAAAAGCTACCGAATTATAGCAGTGAGAATTGTTTGTTTTTTGGATGATATTGCTATAAATAGGTAGGCTTTTCAAAATACAATGTTGTAATAGGAAGAAATGAAAGTATGATGTTAGAATAAACAAATAATGAAAGTACATTATTATCTTTTGTGGAGAACAGTTAATGGGGAAAAAAAACAAGACCTTAGTCACAAAAATAAAAATAAAAACAGCAAGGAATTAGTAACAAATAAAATAAAAGTGACATAAGTTGTAGGAAGATTTTCCGTACCTGAGACCACCACATCACAAACCTCACAATCTTATAGTCTGATTTCTCTAGATTCCTTCGTATAAAGGGTAGAAGGAATAAAATTCCAGAAAGGATATTTGGAAATAGATAAATAACAACTGCTATGATGAACATAGAAGGTGAACTTTCTCCATTTCCAAACCAATTCTTAATAGTTTCTTCAAATCCAGATGGATTTTTCCAACTATATGAATATGTTATAGGTAAAATCACCACCCAAGCTCCTGCAGTCAGAGCTTTCAAAATATATCGAAGCTTCACATGAAATGACATGTAGAATCTTGCATTCCACATTATAAATACATCAATGACAGCTGGCAAAATGAGGTGGCAAAAATTAGATTATATCGCCACATAAGCAGTGTACGCAAATTGTAGGTATATATGTATGTGTATGTTTACCATGTGCAAGTTTCAATATTGCTGCAGTTATGAAAATGCTTAATACTTTCTTGAACACAACCCCATCGAAGATAGAATTTAGTTCACCAGATCCGTTCCATGCTATAATAATCATTGCCTTGTATTAAAAAAAATAGTTAATAAATTAGTAGATTAATTAATTACAAGATAATTAATAATTAACTAATTACCTGTAAAGACAAAATGAAAAAACTCCACATTCTATCGAAGCTCCTAAAGATATGCCAAAATGAATCTATCTCAACAAAGTTGATTTTTCCCATCCAATGATCACTTGTATCGGGTTTTTTCTCCTGAAATAATTAATATATATATTGTAAATAAACAAAATTGATAGAATCTTGGTTATTTATTATTATTATTGATATAGTAAGCATAATATGTAGGGCTAAAATGTAAATTTAGTGCTTACATCATCATCAAGCCGACAAAAGAAATCAGATTTGTCACGCATTGGCCATCCTAGACGAAAACAGTCAACTGACCTACAACATTATCCCAATGAACATATGAAATTTATATATGTATTATAGTATCTTACTTTAATTTCTTTCTAAAACAACATTTTATGATTGTGACTTAATTTTTTTTTCTTATTAAGGCATTGTATATTGAAAAAATACACGATTAGAGCAATGTACTTCATGATTTGAAAAAAAAAAAAAAAAAAAACTCAATTATAGCATTAAATTGCTTTAAATTTGAATGATATTGGTATAGTTGTGTGGATTTTTCAAAGTATAATATTGTAATTGAAGGAAAAGAAAGTAGGATGCTATAATCAACAAATTAATCAAAGTAGTCGCTATTTCTTGCAATTAATCCTATATTCAATTGAATTTATCATTGAATAAAGAATGAATAGATAGCATGATACCAGAAGTATTCATTTAGATCATCATAGTTTCTCCATTGAGAATGTTTTGTCTTTCCCCTTTTGCATTTTCTAGCTTCCTGTACATGACAATAATTAAAAACGTACGCATATAAACTATTAACTTTGAAAGAAAAAGTTGAAAACTCTCCATACTTGTGCTATTGTATCATAAATAGGAGTCACTACTTTCTTCAAAAATGCCTCTTTTTCACCACCATATGCAGGTTTAATATTCTCACCATTCAAAGGACTAACACTACCGGCCAGAATAGCATATACTTCAAATGCCATCTTTGTAAACAAAGAAAACATTGAACATTTAATTGTTTATGTGTTTGTATTCTTGTAACATGTAAAGGAAATACATAAAATTGAAAAAAAAAAAAATATGATGCATACGTGATGATAGATATAGCAAAGGCATTCTGGCATAAATCTCAAGTTTGCAGCTTCACCCCATATGAGAAGATATAGACCCATGTACAATAATTTTCTTTGTTGCACTTCTTGTTGAACATTTGGCAACCTATAAATGTAGGATAATGGTCACATAGTACTTGTAAAAAGATTGAATCTTGTGAAATGAGTGACGACTAAATATCGAAAAAAAACTCACCAAAGACTACTTTTGCGACCCAGATATTTGCACCACTTTTTGTAATTCTTAAAAAGTTTCTTCATAACTTCGGTAAGCGCACAATCATCCAGCTTTTTGGAAGAAAAAAATGAGTCAATGTCATAAACAAAAGATATGTACAAAAATGTGTATAATGTTTTGCTGCACGTAAAGATTATAATAATACCTTAGTATGTTGGTCAGGATTTGGGAACTGGCGAATGTGAACATTTGCAAGCAACAAGATTAAATGCTCTCTCTGATTTGAGACATTATCTTTCTGTGAGTCAACACAAGTCAAACTAAGAATCATCATAATTTATAATTTGTGATTCTATTCATACACCCATATTACTAAATGTACACCCTTGTTTAATTTTTTTTAATATTTATTTATAGGGTATCATGATTAAATTACAAAATGGTCCTTTAGTAATGTTGTTGTTTGCAATTTTGGTCCCAAGATGTTTTGTTTTGCAATTTTGGTCCTTACTTTTATGTTTCTCTTTCGATTTTGGTCCTTTTTTGCTCAAGGAGTTGAATTCCATCTAAACATTGCACGGGCTTTACACAAGAGGGTAAATGGGTCTTTGTTCTTTTGCTCTCCTCTCCCCTAACACATTAGCTTCCACTCGTTTGAATTTTTTTTAGGATTATACTTTCATACATGATCCCTATATTTCTGTTAAAAAAATTTCCCACCCATCATTGTTTCCTAAAATGTTTTTTTTTTGGATTAGGGTAATTGTCAATGAAGTACATGCAGAAGAGACTACCTATGAAAACATAACAATAACGTAATGTGTGAGAGAGAGAGAGACAGAGAGAGAGAATGAAAAAATACCAATTTGCCCTCTTGTGCAAGGCATGTCCAGCATTTAACGGATGGAATTTAAAAACGTGTGGAAAAAGGGACCAAAATTGCAAGAAATAGAAATACTCTTGGACCATTTTTGTAATTTAATGTAAACTATATGATCCAAATAAACCACCTGAAAACCAAACATAGCTTGTAGCCAATCAAGAATGTCTTCATTTACTTTCTTCTTGTAGCCTTTCGGCCATGGAAGTCCCCTGGTACTACGCAGTGCAGTAACAGAAGCTTGAATCTACAAATGGAACAATTAAAGCATGAATAAACTAAATGAGAAAAGCTCAAAAAAAAAATACCCAACTTATTATCCCTCAATGTACAAAAAAAAAACAATTATGTTATTTTTGCATCCACTAAAACCATTATATTTTGTGATTTTGATTCAATTAATGTTTCACAATCAGATAACGCAAGAAAACTTGTATAACCTACGTGGAACCAAATAATTACATGACATTATTAATTTCTAGAAACTGTAATTACTATTCCTCATAAGCTTAATAATTTTTATCAATTTGCTCATGTACTTATTCTAGTTATACTTGAGTTATGCTACCGGTTTTCTTGTGATATTCGGCTGTGAATCATTATTTAATAAAAATCAGAAAATATAATGGTCTTAATAGACACGTAAATACCATAATGGTTTTTTGAGCATTTCTCTAAATAAATATACCATGATAAATTACAATTCTTAAAAAATCTGGAACTAACCTCTGGATATCTCATTATAGCTTGATTCGAACTATCGGGATCAAGTGGAAGTATATTATAAGGAACATACATCTCAGTCTTCTCAACAATCTTAGTGTGAGCTTCCAAAATCTACACACAGAAGCAATAATTATTCAAATTCATCAAGTAAAATTCTATAAAGGGAAGAGAAAAATCCAGTATTTACCTCATCTGCCACCTCAACAGACTCTGTGAAGTTAACAGCCTTTAAAACCTCAAACAGCACAGCAGCAGTCTGATAAGCTTTTGTAAGGCGAGTACTGATGAAACGAGTAAATTTCTCAAATCAGAAAATAAATAATGCAAATTGAAAGAAAGACACATATCACAAAAAGAGATTAAAATTATTAATGTTGTTGTTATTATAATAACCGGTCAGCTTTTTCGGCCTTCATGGCTTGAATGTATTTCATGAAGTAATGTTGATAATAACTTTGCATTTCACGTGCATCACTCTGTGGTCGTCCTTCTAATGTGGTTTTTTCTTCCTGAAAAGATTAGAAATACTTTATCATGTTTTTTATAACATTATTATATGATAAGCATGCTAAAAAAATAAGAGTTTAAATATACTGAAATGAACATATTGCACAAATTACGGAAGTTGTTAGATGGAAAATAAACAAACACATACCCTTTGTAGACGTTGAAGTAGAGCAGTTTTGAACTGGCGAACACCACGTCCACTTGATTTTGGATCTAGATTGTGTGCTTTCTCAAAGGCATAGAACCGACCTAAGTGCATACAATAAGGTTTTTTCTCATTTCATTTATGCATGCAAACCAAGCTTACATTAAGGTTGCGTTTATTACATAGGATAGGAGTGGATGTAACTGAACAAGCTTTCTAAGGCAATTTCCGATGATCTGAATGAGGAGGGCATTCACGTCTTTTGTACAGATAAAAGATCAAGAGTGGGCCCTTTGTCCCACCTTATTGGTGATTTTTGTCCCATTGACATCAGTCTCAACCCAATGTATTGAAGTTAAGTTCATTGGACTTGGACTTGGACTAAAACCAAGACCAGTGTCAATAGAACAAAAATGACAATTTTTGCTTCGCCCAAAAATACGAGACATGTACTCGCTCTCAATTTCTCTTTGGGATATCGTAAAAAAAGCCTTAGAAAGTTTCTTCAATCCAATCATGTCTTGTCTCATATAAAAATTGTGCCTTATGAAATTCTAGTATCATTATTATTTACTATGTAACCACTTATAAACCGTTCATGTGCCTTTGTTTGGTATCCACTATTTCATAAAATCAAATTTTCATTCACTATTATAATTGAAATTAAAGTAAGTTACAAAATTTTGTTCTTTCCTACCACAAAACATTATATGATATGGTCCCTACATTATATAAGGGTTCTACTTTACTTATCCCTCATAACCCCCTTTACACATAAATATACTTCACCCAGCCCTTTTTTTTAACTAAAGGGGTACGTAAAGTGATCCCATTATTATATTATTGTTATGTTATTTTCGTCCCTAAAATTTCATCTCTCCCAGCTGGTTGATTAATGAAAGTGACAATTTATCTTCTCCTTATAACCTAATTCCAAAACCAGTTTCAACAACAAAAAAATAAAACCCATAAGGGTCAAACTTGCAGTTAAAACAACATTAAATCAATCACAACCAAGAAAGCAAACCGGTGAGAGAGAATATTTTGTAGACCCATTTGAGTGGGTAAAGAAGAAGAGCCACGCCTAAATCCGGCAGTAGCCATGGTTGTCGGGTTGGTATATGGAGCATCCGACAAGGAGAAGTAGTTTGAATGTTGATCCGGACCCATAGGGACTATTTAATTGGCTCATTACAAAAAATTATGAAGTGTATTTTTTGTTGATGTGTTATTTATTTCTTCTATTATCTTATATTAAATTGAGAAACTTGGACTAAATATAAAAATATCTCTAACTAGAGGGCATTTAAAAACCCAATATTTTAATTGTATGTATTTGATAGTAAGATGTATTAATAAGATGATAAAAGTTTAACAGAAAGTAAACAAGGAATCAATGAATCAAGACCGTGTATATATTTATCTTATTTACAATGGACACACACATGTTTTAGATTATAAAAAACAAAAATCATTTTGTTTTTTTTTTTTCTGCTTTTTTCTTCTAGATATTTTTTTATCAAAAAGATTGAATATATCGAAATTCATAAAATTCTAGCAATTATTAACCGACATTTATACATACCTCAAACTTTTAATTCATATTCGCATTGTGAATTTGAACCATATCATATACAAATATCATACATCGGCGATCAATTTAGTCTACATGATTGATTATTTACATATGAATATATATATATATATATATATATATATATATATATATGTGTGTGTGTGTGTGAGATCGTTAATGTAGATATATCAAACTTAGATGTGAATTCGAATAAATATTTATATTTACATGTGAATCTGACTAACTTTACATGTGAATATAAGTAAATTCATTTGATATTATTAATATTTTTACATTTTGATCATACACAAATAAAGTTTACTGGGATTTACAAATAAATTTATTCAAATTCACATGCGAATGGTATGTTGAGAAAGCATGTACAATGTTCACTTTCATTTATTAGTTCCCTGGATTCACAAATGAATTTACCATTCTAATTATTTAGTGTTGGAAATTTAAAATAACCACTATAAACAGGTTTGAGACTTACATAAGTAGGCAACTCTTGAATTTGTAGGTTCAACTTCATTAGCAACACGAAGAATAGGTGCAATTTGAACAAGAGATGAAGGCACCACCTCGCTATCCATCATAGGTTCAATACTCGAACTACCACCAATTGATTGAGTATGTAGTAGCCGAGTAGGCGGTTGCTCATTAGACCTTCTCCGATTATTGGCCATTGTTTCTCTTGGACCTTCTTACAGAGACTAGTTTCTGTTCACCTTTTGATATATTATATGAAGATAAAATTTAAAAAAAAAAAAAATCATTGCCAAATAGCAATAGACCACAAAAAAAATGTATCATATATATAGTGTTTGGTATTGATATCGTCGAAGAATGAACGAAATGGTTCATTCAATATTTCGATTGGAACAAAAAGGAGGTTTTTGCCGGATGGATAGACCATTCTTGAAACTTAAAAGCATCATTCTCTCCATTTTGTTAATTTTCATTCAAAGACTAGGTAGGGATATTTTTTCCAATCCATCACAAAAGTGTTTGGAAATTTATTTTTATGTATGTAAATTTTCAGGTTCAAATCTCATTGGCTTAAACTTTTAGATGGTATGATATTCAAAAAAAAGTTATTAAAATTGTATTATGTATGTATCTAAAAGTATAATTTTTATTATAACTAATTTATATTTTAACGAGTTTTTATTATCCTTAAGTGAGATTAATATGAATGAGATAAAAATTGCAATTTTTATCCCATCTAAAAAGGTTGAACAAAAACTCAGCTTTTATCTAATCAAAAGGCGTGTTATCCTCATCATCATTAAAATATGTCTAGAAAGCTTGTCCATGCTAATCTCATATATTCTACATTTTGACATATTTTACTTTTACAAAAAAAAATGTCAAATTGCCAATGAATTGTTACTTTCAATGGAATTTGTGAAATTAAGTGAAATGAAACAGCTTGATATTGGTTAGACAATAAATATTTGGCAGCTAGCAACTTTTTACACTTCGAGTCTCAGCCTTTGATGGTTTGAAATAAGTTTATATCCAATAAATAGTAAGGTATGTATTATCATTGGTTTGTATAGTATCTTACTTTTATTTCATCTTATTACAAGAATTTATTTTGAGAAGTCAATCCAATAGCTGTAATCCTATCCAAGTACAAAATAGTTTCACTCATATTATAATTTGGTGGATTTTTTAAAGTGTAGTATAAAAATAACTAAAAGTATAATGCTAAAATGAGGTATTTTTTAAAAAAGAAGCTTTAATAAACAATTTGGAAGTTTATTAAAAAAGAAGCTTTAAGAAACAATTTGGAAGTTTACTTTTATGCTATAATACATCGTAAATCAAAGTCCATTATCATTTCTTGCATGAAGCCCAAAAAACAACGAGACAACTTTATATAGTTGAATCACTTTCCGAAAGCAAGTAGACTTGACAAAGTTAACTAGCATTTTATAAAAGAAAACCATCAGCCATCTTTCAGTTCTCAGAAAACTGGAAATTTGTAAGCTGTTCGATCAACAAACCAAATCCATTAATCATATTTGTGTGAAACCCCTCGAAAATTCATTCAAAATTTCATCAGAAAACTGGAAAATTTATTGATCAAAAAACCCTTGTGTGGAGGAACTTACAGGATTAAAAACAGCTAAACATAGCAACTAAATTACAAGATCATTCAAAATAGAAGAGGATGTTGAACTTACCAGATAAATGAAGCTCAAAGTTTCATACAAAAGTAGCTTTTATCATCACATTGAACGATTCAGTACTAGTCACAAAAAAGATTCATCATGCGGAAAGCTTTCTGCTGAAAAGAGAAACACTTGCAAGAGAACACATATATATACACAGTGTGTGTGTGTGTGTGTGAGAGAGAGAGAGAGAGAGAGAGAGAGAGAGAGAGAGAGAGAGAGAGAGAGAGAGATGCATTACCTAACTCGCCTTAATCAACAAGAAAACGCGGGCAACAACACAAATAATTGACCACTAAAATATGAATATTTGCGGTTTAGGCTTCATATTTTCAGGAATGTTCAAATTAGTACCCTGGCCATAAGAAGATGAATCCATGAAATTAACACTGATGTGCAATGGTTGTTAAGACTCGAATCATTCACACTTTCTCCAAGTATAACACCCCAAACAAATTAACTAGGGGTGAGCTAGTACGGAACCAAAACAAACCGGTATCAAACTGAAAGTACTTCAACCAAAATGACACAAAAGTAAGAATCAAATATTGAACCAAAGCATATGTTTCGGCATTCATTTGGTACCGATACCGATACCAAATCGGCTCGGTATCATCGGTATTTTTGTTCACCCTAAAACAAACTGTTTTACACTAATATGGATATATTATGATTTTTTTTTCTTTTTTTGCAGTAGTACGAGTAGTCTCTTTACTCATTTTTCGAAAATCGAATCATATTTTTTACATGCAGAAATTCAAATAAATTTGATAATAATATTTAAAAGCTTTCCATTTTAATTTTATGGGATTATTTGTATTGTTTAAAGATTTTACCGGTTCTTTTTGAAACGAGGGGTTTTATTAGAAACAAAGCTCTAGCTATAAGCCCGAGCAATATATATATATATATATATATATATATATATATATATATATATATATATATATATATATATATATATATATATATATATATATATAATCGGGGATAACACATCTAATTGTCCTGGTGCATCTTGCACTTTTATCGTCCGTTACAAATCCATAAAAAAAAAAAAAATAAAAAAAAATAAAAAAAAAGACACATAATATCATCAAATAACTCGTCTTTCCTTTGTTTGTGGTAAAAAATAGGTTCAAATGTTTTTGATAATTATTGTGTTTATGAATACACCAATCAAAAACTAATAAAATATTAAATAATTTTTTATATCAATAAGGTATTTTAGAGATTTTGTATTCTCAATTGATGGAAACGTTTAATTGAACTCCTATAATTAAGGAAAGAAAATAAATATTTGATCTAATCTCTCTCATATATATGTCTTCTATCCCTTTTTAGCAGGAACATAACGTCTTCTACCCCTTATATGATGTTATCTTCTAGAGCTTCATTGTTACACCCTCATCTTCTTCTCTTGTAAATCGTTTTCTTCAAATCTATAACATCCCAAAAATACTAAGTAAAACCTTTTGTTCTAAATCCACCAAAATCATCAATCATTCATCTCAAATCCTCAAAGTATGTCAAAATAGAATATAGTTATCAGAGTACAATCCCAAAATTGTAGAATGCTGGACACAGGTGGATGCGTTGTGATCAGGTCGGGCCCTTCCCTTTCAAACTGGAAGTACCTGAAACATAAACTTAATCCGTAAACACAAAGCTTAATGGGTTCCCCAAAATACCACAAAACATACAAGCAACGGCCCCGCCCACTGGGTATAATGGGTATCGCCCTAACTCGCATAACGGGCTCCACCCAATGAGTATGACGGGCTTCGGCCTAACTGTAACGCATGGATTCGTTAGGTAAAACCATTGCATTAAACTCCTTTTACATTTGGACTAGACCATAGTACGTTAGGCGTACACAAGGTATGCATGACATACTCTCATGCGTGCACGGATTAGGGGTGTACCCTACATATGTTGGGCGTACCCAAGTGTACGCGGGCCATGGGAAAACCCTAATTTTTAGGGTTTGCACCCTATTTAAACACATTAAGCCCTTCACCCTCTTTACCTTATCATCCCCCATTGCATTTTGTGATAATCTCGAAACCCTAGCCACCTTGAAGAGCATTCTTAAGCTTAATAGGAGTTTTGGGTGTTCCTTTGGCGATCTTGAAGAAGAAGGAGGCTTGAGGAGAAGCAAAGGACAAGAAGAAGCTTGTAGATCCAGAAGTTGTGCATCATTTCTATCCTATTAGAGGTATAAAGTATGAAACTTGCTCATTCTAATTCTAGATCTAAGTTTAAGGAAGAACTTAGCATCTTTTGGTCTTATAACTTGGTATTTTGGAGTATGGGCTACTCCAAACCATTTGAGTTGTCCTTTTGGACTCTTAGGGGTGCACGAAGTCATAAAAATCATATCTTGGCGGTTAGAACTCAACCATGCATGAGTTGGTGACCACGTAAAGGAGATAGAAGGCTTAATCCATGGTTTGAGTCCAATTAAGTCTTGCATAGGCATAAAGTTTGAAACTTTATGGCTTAAGATGCTTTTATGAGCTTGGATTTGAATTTTTGACGTTAAAGCTTAATGGGTTAAGACATTGGAACATTTTTTGGGCTGACTGATCAATATGGTGGGGGTAGTCATGGTTATGTTGTGCGTAATGGGCCAGTGCCTCGATTCTGAATGAACATCATATGTCAGGCGTACGAGCCATGTATGCTACGCATACATAGTTTGTGGGCTTAAGGGATTTTAGGCTCAAGTTTTGTTGGGCTTTTTTCCTTGTTTAGGATTAGGCCTCAATCCTTTCTATAGTAGCATGATATTTATGGGCTTTAGGCCATTTTGGAGCTATTGGGCCCATAATGGGCCTTAGGGTCTTTTAGTTGGGCTTAGAATGCCTTTTTGGACTAGTTTGAATTTGGACCTTGGTGGAGTAGGCCCAATAAGGAAAGGGTTAAGCAATCATTTGCCTTTAAAGTCAAGATTTGGGGTTTAGACCTTCGGGTTTCATTATTGACCTACTTTCTAATTAGAGTTTTATACTTGTGATTTAGAGAGAGGATTTCCCAAGTCAGTTGCTTGAGTGTGATTTGATATCTTTAATCTGAGGTGAGTTTCCTTCACCGTATTCGTGGTTCAAAGGCACCAATGTCGGCCCACTCGATTATGCTTGTTGTATGATGATTGTCTTTGTGATAATTATTCGTTATGTCTGTATTTGCTCGATGTCTTGTGAACCTTTTATTATGATATTATGTGGTAGGGGTAGGGGTGAAATTGACCTGATATTGGTTAGAAGAGGCTGAAGGGGTTGAAATATGCCAAATACCAGTTGAAAGAGACTGAAGGGTTGAAATATACCTAGTATCGGTTGAAAAAGACCGAAGGGGTTGAAATATATCTGGTACCGGTTGAAAGAGACGGAAGGGATTGTGAGCACCTAGATATGCTTGATTGTTATGTATGGTATGGCGTATTTTGATGGAAATCACTAAGTTTTGTGCTTACGATTTTTAGTTTATGTGTCGTGTACTTCCAGCTTGAAATGGAAGGGCCTGACCTGATCGCACCGCATCAACCTATGAATTTCCGCATCACGTGATTTTGGGATTTATACTCTGAAAATATATTATTATAATATACTCTTGACTATTTTTATATGATTACCATATGATTGAAATGAATTTAAAAGTGAAAAGGTTATTTGAATTTTTGAAATGTTACAAGTTGGTATCAAAGCCTTGGTTTAAGGGATTTGGACATACTCTCGAGTATGTCTGAACTCAAATCGAGTATTTGGTAAGTCTTTCATAAAAATAGATATTTTAACAATGAATTCTAATTAAAGAAGGTGGTGTGATGCGTGTAATCAACCGAGCTCAAGTAAGTTTTCCCAAAATACACATACATGTTTTATGTTATTTTGTGAATCTATGAATTTCATGCTAGACTAGGGCTAAAGATTTGCTTAGGATTTCATGATAGTATGCTAGGAGAGATGCCTTTATGTGACTATTATATGAGCTTATAAATCTACATGCTCGTATGAAATCGGTATTCTGATAGGATGGCATGCTTAGGTTATGTGATGACTTGAATTGATTGATGCTTGAATGTCGTATGCTTTGTGCTTTTAGGAGACTTTATTAGTACCAGCTGACTAGTTGATGAATGCTTTTGATTACAAATTATTAATATTAGATAATTTTAGAAGGATAGATTTAACTCTATTGTGAAGCTCTTGTTTGAGTCCAGCCGTTGTAGTGTGGGACCTTTCGTTCAAAGAATTATCTAATACTGATAGTATGTAGTTGTATTCGTGTGGTAGTTGGATGGTATAAGTGAGAACTCCTTTTTGCAACTGATAGCAGAGATTGGTGAGGAAAGGAACCATAGGGAGTTCCTGGATTATGTATTGGCTCTTAGGACGCTTGGTAATAGGAAATGAGTATTAAATGAGATAAGGTGACTTGAGGAATCATTGTAGTCCTTGAAGAAGGTATAAATAGGTGTAGAATGTAATATTGGTCCCGTACTGTAACATCCATAAAATTTCAAAAGTTTTAAAAATTTACATAAACCCAAAAACCGTCATTTATTACATATTGTTTTCAAAATATGTTTCACATCAAAGTTTTTCCGAGAAATCATAACATGAAATACGAGGAAGTGCACGATCAAGCCTTCATCTTTCCGCGGTCATCTGAAGTACCTGAAATGTAACCAAAAACTGTAATCTCATTGCTTAGTGAGTTTCCCCAAAATACCAATACAACAACAACATACATATACTAATAGCATATTATAGGCCTAATCAACCATCGGGTTGGATGCCCCAGGCCCTCAACCATCGGGTTGGAATGCCAACATACTATGGGTCCAGTCAACCTTTGGGTTGGAATACCCCCAGACCTCAACCATCGGGTTGGAATATCAACATACTCTTGGTCCAATCACCATAGGGATGGAATACCCTCGGCCCTCAACCATCAGTTTGGAATGCCCCAGCCTGTTGGCTTATGCATAAAGCAGAAAATCCTCAGCCACCAATCAAATATGTGCACATATAAAAAAATAATCATATAACAGTCTACATGCATTCAAACAGATTTAACAGACCACTAAGCATAACAACATGCATAACAGAATATCAATTCCGCTGGGCCGACATTGGTGCCTTCGACCCATAAGTACCGTGAGGAAAACTAACCTCACAAGCAGCA